CAACCACACATTCTTCAATAAAATAATATTTTCCATTACATCAATAATTTTTTCTTCTTTTTCAACCACACATTTCTCATCATATAACTATTCAAAATCAATTCTTCCCCCAAAAAATCCCTACCAAACAAACAAGTTTGGTTACCTAGAATCGAATCGGAGAACTCAACCTTCCAAATTTTTTTGACCACTGGTTATGACTTGGAATTCTTAAAGCACTGATTGGTAGCTAGTTGAAACTATCCAAATAGGCTCAAGTCATGAGTAGGTGAGAAAATCAACACATATGAGGCTGGTCTGCCTGCAAAATGAAGCCAAATTGGTTTACCAACTATAAGAAAAATTTGAAGCAAAACCAATACTTCTTCAACGGAGTAATGTGTGAAGAACTTGTGAAAATCGAAGTCGCCTTTGTACTTACACTTCTAGTATAATTTGGGAAAAGAGAGAGCTTAGAAATTCACACAGCCATGACAATGTCATACCTTTATCACATAACCCCAACAAGTACATTACCATATCAACGTACTGCAAAATTAAGACGAAGTTGAAACCTATCATATTTAACCTCAACATGGAGAGAGTATTCACATTGTTAATAAGCCGCCAACCGGATTTCAGATTTGGGTGCAAGAGGGGGCTTAAATCCTTAAATCAATGCAATTCCAGATCTGGGCATATGAAGCTATTTGACTTCAAAATCAGATTATAGCTTCCCAAGCATGAAGCTTTGGGATGCCAGCACTGAACCTCCATCTTTGGTGATTAGCGAAGTACCGGACCTACATTTTCGTTTATTTTTTGCTGCAATTAGTTTTAAAACATAATTTTTGCAGCAAATTATGAAATATCATATGACTGCTATACAAGAGGAGTTTTCTTCTCAAGCTTACTTTGAGATATAATTTTTGTTTTCTCAAAAGGAGTAGTTGATCAAAGAGTTGATGTTTTCTTGGATCACTGGGACAGAAGTCTTGTGATGCCGATGAAGGAAATAATGAGGCGAGGTGAAAGAGTATTCAATCGGAGAAGGAGATGACGAGACACATGCTTATGCCTCTCCTACACATACAGCTAATACAACACCGAGAAGCCCTCATAGATAAAATTAATCTGCATCTAATCTCCGGTCAATCTCCTGATCACTACTATGAAGAATTGAGATCACATGCAAGAGATCAAGGCTAGGCTACAAAGACAAATTATGAAAGAATTTGATGGAATCTTAATCTCACTATGAGAGTACAGAGCAAGAAGCAGGCCAGGGTGTGAAATCCTCCTGCTGGAGATTAGAGCGGTAGATTGGCAATGTCGTGGACACTACATAACATGAAAAAAAATATAAAAAAAAATCCACTTCACTTCATAAAAAGAAATAACATAACAACTTTAAATTAAGACAAAAAATTGAACAAACTCAAGCAGGTAAAAGTAGTTATCTTTCAACTGCTTTGTCTTGCCAACATGAAAATGACTGGCCTTCTTCGAGTCAGAAGCATGCAAGGGGTCATAAACAATACCCGAATATAGTTACTCTGCTTTGCTTGATTAGTATAGAGAGAAAAAATGCTCACCATTTTTTTGTATCTCATTCCTCATGTATCCTAAGGAATTCATCAGGCAAGTCATCATAATCATCAACCTGAACAATTGGCAATGGAAATACAAAAAAGGGCATGCACGTACGTAAACCCCCTCTTCATGAGGCAAAACCTTCTCCACAAGTGGTTTAACCACATCTTCGTGAATATGAAATGGAGAGAAGATTCAAAGTTAATGCTTGCTTTAGTTTTCTTATTTCCTGACACAAATTCACTTAATCAAATGAAAGTTCGTTGAAATTTAAAAATTGTACCTGAAACTCATCCACATGAGTTTGAAGAACCTCCCCCACAAGTAGTGGAACGTCTTCCTTGGACATCTGAAATGGAGAAGTGATTTGAAGTTAATGGGGTGTTTGATGCACATTTTTTGGAAAAGAATGTATTTTATGATGTGGTGATGAAAAATATGTGGTTAAAAAATAAAGAAAAGTTTTGGATTTGCGTGTAATATTATTTTATTGAAGAATGTGTGGTTGAAAATGAGTTTTGAAAGAATGAATTTTGAGAAGAACGTGGATAAAACACGTCATAAATGTATGCTCTAGTTTTCTCATTAACAAAAAACTACTTAATCTAATGAAAGATGATAAAAAGTTTTAAAATGTACACGAATCTATCCTTTTTGAGTCTGAACTCCCCCTCATGAAACTGAACCTCCTCCACGTGGGTGAACCTACTCGTGAGTCTGAAATGGATAAGGATTCAAAGTTAGATGCTATCTTTAGTTTTCTTGTTACTTAGTAAAAATCTACTATATCAAAATATTATTGAACAGTATCAAATCATTATTCTGCACACCAAAGTCAATGAAATATAGCAGAAAGTGAAAAAAAAAAAAAAATGTATTTGAACCTCCTCATGAGTCTGAAGCCCCTCACGAGGCTGAACCTCTTCCGCAAATAGCTAAACCACTTCCTCACGAGTCTGAAATGGAGAAATGATTCAAAAATTAAACGCGTGACTTCATTTTCTCATTAATAAAAATTCACTTGATCAAATGAGAGAGAATGAAAAGTCAAAAATGGTCCTTGAACCTCATCCTCACGAGTTTGACCTCCCTCCTCATGAGGCTGATCCTCCTCCACGAGTGGGTGATATCCCTCTCAAAAAAAATGTTCCTTTATTGCACAGAATCAATTCATTATTCTGCACACTGGAGGATGAAACATAATGAAGAGTTAAAAACTGTACCTGAAACACCTTCTCATGAGCTGAAGTCCCTCGAGAACCACATCTCCAAGATATCGCCAATCTGCTCTATTCTCCCATGGTGTGATCTTACTCCCCCACTTGTTGTTCTATCCTCCCATAGTAAGATCACACTTCATCAAATTCTTTCATAAATTGCCTCCATAGTGTACTTCTGGAAGTGTCTTCTCAATTCTTCCGGAAATAGTGACAGGAACATCAATGCACAAAATATGGCTATAGATGAGATGCACCGCCATACAGTCTAGGAGAGCTTCCTGGTGTTGTATTAGTTGTGTGTGCCGGAGTAGCATAGGCATCTGGCTCATTGACTCCTCCTCCGACTGAATACCCCTTTGAGTTACCTTTATTATTGCTTTCATCAGCACCGCAAGGCACGTGATCTTCCAAGTGATCCAAGAAATCATCAAATCTCTCTCAGATCAGATATTTCTTTGAGAGAAGGAAAATAAAGTCTCGAGTAAGCTTAAGAACCCCTCTCAGTTAAATGATATGATAAGTTTTCTGCACAAATTGAAAAGGCACATTTTTATTGCAGCAATAAAAAAATATAAATAAAAACTAAGTAAACAATGTGATTAAGAGATATTAACATTTTGTAGGTCCAAAACATCACTAGTCAGAAAAGATGGAGGAGCAGTGGTTGCATCCCAATACAACATTCTCAGGAAGCTGTCATCAAGTTTTAAAGCAAATCAACTTCTGGAATTGCTATGGATGCCCAAATCTCGAATTGCTTTGGTATAAGCCTGTTCTAGATTCTGGCTGGTGGCTTATGGGTAACCAAGTAATTTCTTCATATTAAGGTTAAATATATGACACACGAAGTGTACAAATAATTAAGGTTTTAACATTGTCTTAATTTTGCAGCACGCAATACGGTAATGTAATTGTTGAGGTTAGGTGCAGGTGTGGCAAATTATCCAAGCACATTGTCACACTACTGCTAAACTCTCCTCCCCGGATTGTACTGCACACACGGGAGCAATATTCAGAAATGTTAGATGTAGAAAAGACATTAACTTTCCTTAGGTTCCTCACAGCTTATGACTTTTGCGTATCTCCGAGAGCCACTAAAAGATGCAATGCTTGTACATATGTATATATCCCTTATTGTGTGAAGCAACTCCCATCAGATTGCATTTGAATTGACTCTGAACAAAGAACTATTTTCATCTTAAAAGCTAAAGGAGTTGCTTTACAGTGGCTGAACTTCAAAGATATTTGGAGCCATTGTCAAATGTTACCCCTTGGCTCATGAAAAGCACTGGCTTGTTTGGAGGATCCAAGCCCAAGCAATCAAAGTATATCTCGTGTCTAAGAAGTAGGGCTGTCCATGGGTCGGTTTGGTTCGGTTCTGAAGATACCCG